CCCTCCCAGCCCTGACATCCCCTGTTCTCAGCGCCCTCCCAGCCCCTCCATCCCCTGTTCTCAGCTCCCTCCCAGCTCACACTGGCACGCTTTGGGGTCCACTGAGGTTAAGGGGCTCAGCCCACGTCATCACACCTAAGTGTGCCTAGCGGGACGGGGCCCCAGGTTCCTGACCCCGGGCCCATGGCCCTCCCCACTGGGCCACGCGACCTCTCCTGCCTGACTCTGGCTCTTTCTCTAGTCCCCAGCGCAGTCTGTCCCGGCTCATCCCCCACCCGCACACGGAAAACCTGCCCCGCAGCGCCACCTCGTGGCCCGCGGACTCACTGCCCTGCCCGAATCCAGAACCGCCTCACGCTGGGTGCGCTTCCCACAGCGCGGCTGGGCAGCAGCGCCCCCTCCTACGGGACGCCCTCCCTGATCCCCCCACGTGGTCGTGCCTCGCCCCCTTCGCCTCCTACGGCCCCTGCACACGCCCTTGAAGGGCAGGCGGGCTGTGCCCGGTCAGAAGGCCTGCGTGCCATGACAGCTGCCGTGCAAGCACTGTCCCCGAGCAAAGGGCACGCAACCTCCGCCGCTCGTTGGCTGGGTGACCTTAGGCAGGAAACTTCCCCTCTGTGGGCCTCAGTTTCCCCATCTAAAGAAGGGCCCAGGTGGCCTGTGGGGTCGCTTCCAGCTCTAGGTCTACGATTTCACAGTGACTCGAAGCCCTTGGCTCCCGCTCTCCCCCTTCCGGCTGAAACTGCGCATTGACCGCGGGCAGCCCGCCGCGCATGCGTCCTGGAGGGCGCCCGGCGGCGCGGCCTGCCCGGAACTCTTCCGGTCGGGGCTCATGCTTCCGGCCGGACGTTTTAGGGAAGGGCTCTGACCGGAAGTGCCTGGGCGGGCCGCGTGGGTGGAGGAGCCATGTCGGCGTCGCTCCTGCGCAAGGGCCTGGAGCTCCTCGGGGAGCCTGCGGGTGAGGCCTGGGCCGGGCCGGGGGGGCGGGCGGGGGGCGGGGGGCGCTGGGAGACCGGGACGAGGCCCCCGGGCCGGACCGTGACGCCGCCTCCCTCCCTCCAGCCTCCGGGTCCGGCCGAGGCCCCCAGAACCGGACGCCCCGGAAGCGGCTGTCCAGGAAGAACCAAGCCACGGTCAAGGGGAAGGTCACCAAGTCGGCCCTGGGTGAGGAGGGGCAGGGGATGGGGGCCGGGGCCCGGGCGCCGCCCGGTCCCGTCGCGCGGGGCGCGGGCCTCCCTTCCCCTGGCCGGTGCGCCGGCCCCGCCCCCCCCCCCCCCCCCCGCCCGGCATGCCCTCCCTCCCAGAATGCCTTGCGCGGAGAGCTCGGGGCCAGCTTGGGCGTGAAGCCGCCCCCTCCTCTTCTTACTTGGAATTGAGACGCGTCACCCGCTGTGTGCCAGGCCCTCCCCCTCCAGGGCCGCCTCAGCCTGGTGGTTGGCCCCAGAGGAGGGGTCTGCAAGGGGGCGTGGCCCCGGGGGCCAGAGCTCGGAGCTGCCGAGAGGTGGGATGCGCGTTTACCTGTAGAACAGGTAACGGAAGTTTGGCCGAAACACGGAGCTCGGAGCTCGGGAAGGGCCGCTAAGCCAGTTGGAGCCAGATCCCATCCATCAGTCAATCAACAAACTCTTGCTTAGTGTCGGGCCCTGGGGTCACAAAGACAAACATAAAATAGACAATCCCAGCCTTCAGGGAGCTGGGATTTTGTTGGGAGAGAGAGAGAGAGAGAAGACACACGTTTAAGTATGTGCTGAACAGCACAATTTCGGAGGGAGGGGGCCTCCCAGGCAGGGACTCGTTCATGCCTAGAGGCATGAGGTCTTAAATGTCATAGGTACGGTCTTCTGGCCACTTTGTGGAGGGTGACCTTGGGCAAGTAACTCTCTGGGCCTCAGTTTCTCCATCTCCAAAAGAAGGGGGTCCTCCTCTAGAAGAGAACCTGGAGGTGAGGGGACGTTGGCCTGGGTCTTACCTAAGGCCGCCCGAGCGTCAGAGGTCAGGTTTGAACCCAGGTCTCGAACGCCCCCACCCCCTTTTGCACTGTGCTAGATGTGCCCACCTAAGGGGTTGGGTTTGTTCGTAGTGACTCACGATAACCCCCGATCCTTTGCCTCACCCCAGAGGAGTTCAAGAAGCGGCAGGCTCAGGACCACCTGCAGGAGAACCTGAGGTTTATGAAGCGGACACGAGTGACCGCCGACCCGAAAGTCACCACGAAGGTTAGGGCTTCGGCCCCTGTTTGTCTGCTGGGGTCTCCTCGTAGGGGGAGAGGGCGCCTCTCCTGTTGGGGATCACTAGGTCCGGTCAGGGCTTCCCGAAGGGGGGGCCTCACTGACCTGGGCCTGGAAGTGGATGGTCTCCATTGTCACGAAGGCCAAGGGCAGGAGGCTTTCCTTCCAGCCCCCAAAAGAGCTTGTTATCCCATGGGGGGAGATGGAATTCATCTTCTCATCCATTTAAAGCTAATGAGAACTGAGCTCACGAGCGGGCGTATGATCGTTAGCCTCATTCTGCTTGGCCCCGAGAGGCTGGCAGAGGGAGGACATCTTAGAGAGGCAGATCCCAGACCTTCCTACTTGTTCCCACATAGGCTGGGCTACCCTGGGAGGTAGTGAGCTTCCCCATCACCGAGGGCTCCGGGCAAATGCTAGATTGGGGGTTTAGAATAAGGGGGAGCTTGGATGGTTGGGTCCAGGCCCCTCATTTTGTGGGTGAGTCGATACTTGTTAGATGTGGCCTAAGAGGGATTTTCTGGGTAGGCCTAGGCTTCTGTTTTCAGCTTGGATTGTGGGATCCAAGGTCCCAAATGCCTTGGGTCAGGAGGGCCCTTTGGAGAACAGGCATCCTTCGTAGGTCCACGAGCATGGGCCGAAAAACTTCCTAGGTGGGATCCAGTTCCGTGCATGCAGATTGGGCCTCCCCATGACTTCTTACCCCTGCCTCCCCCAGGTCCTTCTCCAGAACCGAGGCAGGAAAGCCAGGGACCGACCAGCCACCAAGCCAGTGAAGGAGAAACCCCAGGGCACAGTGTTCACTGAGGAAGACTTCCGCAAGTTCCAGGAGGAATATTTTGGGAGTTCTGGAACCAAGTGATGGAAAGGAAGGAGCCGTTGTCTGGACTGGGCATGGGCTGGGCTCCTGGGCAGTATGGGAGGAGGCTCCCTTTTCAGAACAAGGCAGACTCTGGGCCTGAGTGACTGAGAGAGCCTGACGGACATTCAGAGGCAGGAGGGCATGGTTTTCACTCTCTGCCACTCCCAGCTTTGGGAGCTGCCCTTCACCTTCATCCCACACCCCTGCAAACCTCAGGACCCCAGGTGGGCTGCTGTTTGAGACTCAGCCACCAGGTGGCGCTGCTGCTCCTGCTCCCCAAGCTGGGGAGGGAGGGAGGGAGGGGATGACCCTTGGGGGCTAGAGGTTTGATACAGATCCTTTTATAAATAAAAATGAAAAGTCCTGCCCTGTTTGGAATTGAGGTGAGCCTCGGTCTCAGTCTGGGGCTCTCCATGATGGGGCACACCTTCCAACCCTGGACATGCCCCCAGGTGACAGTAACAGAACCCAAGGAGGGGGTGGGGGGCTTGCAACCCTGGATGGTTGTCTATGTCAGGGAGCCCTGGGCACCTGGAGGAGCCTTGGAGCTCTAAGAAGACAAATGAGGAAACTGAGGCTCAGAGGGAACAGAAATGACCTGGGGTCATGAAGCTGGCTAATGACAGGGCCTGGGGCTGATGCCTCAGTGACTCTACTACTTTCTTACTAGAAAACCTAGAACTGATGATGCATTCTCCTTTTTGATTTCTAGTTTTCTGTCAAATGTCTTAATCCTGGCCCTGTCAGAGTGAAATGTGACCTTTTCTCTCACAGCTGGTTCTCAATTCAAAAAACACCTAGTATATTCCAGGAGCAGCACATCGTAGGTGCTGGGGACACAAAAGAGAAGCTGAAGCAGACCTGCCCTTGAGAAGCTGATGTTTAATTAGGAGGAAACAGCGTAATCACAGAATAGGCCATATAAAGTCATTTGAGCCTCAGAAAAATGGGGCTCATCTTGCACTTCCTTAAAGGACTGATGGAGCAAACCCTGGGGTTGGAGGGTGGGTTAGTACCAGCACAGAGGAAAGGATTGAAGGGAGATCGACAACAGGGGGCAGGGTTGGGTGGAAGGGCGGAAAGGACACTTTGGTGGCTCTGCCTGCTCCCTTTCCTTGCCATCTGACGGACAGGAAAGTATTTCCAGAAAGATATTCATTCTTACTAACCCCAGTGAAGGAAGCCAGTTTTCTTAAATCCAAAGACCGGAAGAGCCATGAGGAGTCTTGAAACTCATCTCTAACTCCCTCATTTGACACAAGGAGATGGCAGATCAGAGGTGAGCAGTGGTTTGTCCATGGTCACGCAGCCAGGGGTGGGGAATGAGAACATCTGGTTCTGCTCCAGTTCCGGATCCTCGCTGGAGGTGATCTTTGGGCATAAACAAGGAAGGCGGCCTCCCAGATACTGTGGGGTGAGTCCTCTGCCAGTGGTAGTAACTACCCACTGTTAGAACCGTGGAGTCCTCATAAGGAAGTGGTACCCAAATCTCCAGCCTTCATCTAAGGATTAGAGGGGATCCACAGGCCCTGCCCCAGTTCCACTTGGGATAGCTCAAATTATCAGGAAATGAATCCTGCCTTACATGTCTCCCCCAGTAAGAGAGCTGGCACTACCTCAGTTTTCCATTTGTGTGCCAGCACTGAGCTTAGTGCTTGGCACATAGCAAGCACTTAATAAACACTTTTGTTCATCCCATTCCTGACATGAAGCTGAAGTAGGCATCTCTGCAGTTTCTTCCCACTGCCCCTCGTTTCATCCTTTAGCCCCTTCCCCATGACAGCTATTGAGGGGAACTTTGTTCCCTCATGAGTGCTCAGGCCTACTCTCCAGTCTCAGGGCCCTGCTGGTTGCTCTCCTTTGGACGTTCCTGCTCACCCAAACGCCCTCCCTTCTAGTAGAGGTGGGAGGGGTGGGTTTGGAACATCAGAAGTTCCGTCAGAAGTGGTTTGTTTCCGTTTTGGTAAACGTTTTATTTTCTCTTGTTTTTTGTTACTAGAGATGGCTTATTGGGCAGGGGATGGCCTATACCTTCATTTGGAAATGAAAGTAATGTTAAAAAATCCATACAAATGTAAAGCTATTTCAAAATAAATAAATGTGCCCAGGGCTGAGTCCCAGCTAACTTGTGACCTTCCCTCCGAGCCCCAGGGATGGTCCTTCTGAGAGCCTTGGCAAGAGAAGGCTTTGCCCCAAGCTGTTCCAGGGAACACAGCTTAATTGATCCAAGTTCCCTAGGGGGTGTCTTCCCTGAGGGGCTGCTTCTGGGAACTGTCAGGACCCCTGGGGGCAAGAATGAGCCTTCCTCCTCCCCCCCAGGCTTTTTTGGAGGAGCCATAGAAAAGGTTAGAAAGAGAGCTCACTGTGCTATGGCTTGGATCCAATACAGAGACATTGGAAGCCATTTCCTGGATTTGGAAGCCTGTCCCATACTTGCGAGTTAACCCTTTGGACATGGAGTTTCTTGAGAAATCAGAAAAACCTTAGGCCTGAGTCAAAATCTGCTGCCTTCTGTTAATTTCACAGAAACAGGAGTTTTAGGGTTGAAAGGGAGTTCCAAGACCATCTAGACCGCATCTGAAAAAGAATCCCCACCACAACACGCACAATAGAGGACCTGCAAACAGGGAGGGCCAGTCGCTATTTCCAAGATGGCCCAATCTATTTCTGGACAACTGATTGAGAAGTGTTGTCTGATGTCCAGCCTGAATTTCCCTTCTGATCTGTGTCTGATGAGTTTAATCCCTCTTCCATACTTGTGAAGATAGCTTCCCCTCCTAACCCAAGTCTCTCCAGGCTAGACATACCCACGTCACAGGACTAATTCCTTTTATCTTGCAACCCCCTAAAACCTCATCTTTTTTTTTTCTGAGACCAACTATCAAAACCATGCTTCCCCCATTTTATATTGGTGAAGTCAGTTTTTGGACATAAGGAGAAAGGTTTTATATTTATTCTTATTACAGTTTATCTTACCAAATTCAACCCATTGAGATTTTTTTTCGGTGGGCTGGGAGGACCCCTGTGTTAACTCTCCTTCCTAGCATCATGTTACCAGCACATCTAGTAAGCATAATACCATGTAGTCCAGGCTTTGACAGAAATGTTAAATGGCACGGGGCCTATGGAGAGCAGAGATCCCTGGGGAAGGCACTCCCCTGGGGACCAGACCCTGATTCTTGACTTTGAACCATTAATAAGCCCAGCTGTTCACTCAGTTCCAAACCTACTGAACTTATCTAAATCCCCATCCCTCCATTTTATCCCAGGTTTTGCTAAAATCTAGGTTAACTCTCTCCATATAGCATTCCCATGTCCACAAAGAAAAGTAGCCCTTCCTGACAAAGCCAGATAGCATAGCTCTAGGTGATCATTTCTCTCAATATTCACTGGCCCAAATATGCCTCTTGGGAACTTGCACCCACTTCTCCTTTGGTCCTTGGGGGCCAAACATGGCAATTCCCGTCATTCTCTCACACCCCCCCCTGCCTTTTTTTTTTTTTTTTTTTACAACCAGGAAGGACGTTTGCCCATTCTCCCTGCCATTTTTTGCCCTTTGCTCCTGGTTTCAATGACAGTCTGAAGGACCGAAGGCCTGCATTCATCCCCATTCTTACTTTGGGTATCTAATCCTATTAATCTTTCCATCCACCCTCAATACGGCAATAGCTCAATTAGTCTCATCTTTCTGAGATTTAATACTGGGGTCAATACTCTATTCAAAGACAGTGATCACACGCTCCTCGCGCCCACCCACACCTAAGTGTAGGACAGGTCCACCTTGTCAGTGGTCCTTGGGTGGGAGGGGAAGGGTTGACTCTCCACAACGGAGACAAGTTCTCTTTTATAAAGGTCTTAAGCAGAATGGAAGGCCGAGGAGGTTCCCAACAAGCCCCAAAACTGCACATCTGCTTCCCCAAAGTGTTGGGGTTGGGATAATGGGGTTAATTTCAGGTTTTTACAGTTCAAGTTAAGGGGCAGAGTAACTTGGTCGGTTACTGTTCACCAGTTTATGACCAGACAGGTTTACTCTTTTCTTGCTCTGTACGTACAAGTGTTACTTTTGGTCAGTGTGACATTTCCTTTTCTTTAGTCTGTATTTTGGGTACCACTTGGATACCCTGACCAAGGTGTCATTTCCACAGCCCTTACTGAGCCTTGACTTTCCATAATACTGTGAAATCCTTCACATTTGTCCCAAACTTCCAGCTATCCTTCCCGTTGCTCTTCACTGGTAGAAGCTGTAAATGACCCACCTCTACTAAGCAAATTTGAACCACTCCTTCCCCTAACCCACCCCCACAGAAATCAGCTTTTCTGGTAAAGGGTTTTTCAGGATCCAGCCCCACACCAGGTGAGCGACTGGGCTCTCTGAGGAAGCACGTTACAACCACCAAGTTGCACTTTTACTACAAAATAATTTATTGAACAAGACGGCACAAGACTCCTATATACACACAAACACAAAATATCTGACTACCCAACGACTTCGGGACTTTTCCGCTTTTCCTTGGCCTTCCGGACCTCTTCTATCAAGTCCTTTAAATACTGGATCTCTTTGCTCAGGGCATCTGCCTTCTCCTTCAAAGCCTCATTCTTTTGTTCTAGCTCTCTGCACTCCCCAGATAATGCCTCCTGTTCTGCCCGCTTTTTCTGCCTATAACGTGTGGCAGCAGTCTTGTTTTGTTCCATTTTCTTTAGCTTTTTATCTACCTTTTTCTCTTTCTTGTCCTCAAGGGGACGGTCATAAGGTTTGGGGCGGGCAGAGAGAAAAATGGCATCTGAAGAGAGCTGGCTCTCATTCAGAGAAGCCATGGAAGTGAAGGGGCTCTGCTGGGGAGAGCCCAGGTAGGACTCGGGGCTGGTACAGATTCCAATCCCACTATCATTATCTGAGGGGGCATCTTCCTCTTTGATATCCTTTGGCATCAGCCCATAAACAGCTTCTGCTTTTTTGTCTCCTTCCAAGACATCCACTTCACTACCTATTTCTAAACTAAAAGAATGGTCTGGCGTGGAGGTCGGGGCCCTCAGAGAAAAGGGAAAAGACTGATGGGAGATGAGGGGGGTGACATGATCAAGTTCAAGTAGAGTTTCTGGGAACTGGCCAATTGAATTAACTGTTGAAGGGGACTCTTTGTTACTAGCGGCCAAGGGGTCGAACAGATCACACGAGTCTTCCAACGTGGCAATAAGCTCAGAGCAGGTGGATTCCAGATCATCCATACCCAGCAGGGCATCGAAATCAAACTCCTTCAGATCCATTTTCTCCACCATCCAATCCATGCCCGAGAAGGCATCCTCTGCAAGAGAAACCAACCCGTGACCTGACAGCACAAGCTACAACAGACAGAAGCCAAGTGCACAGCCCTCTCCCCTTTCCCCTCCCCCAGGGAGCCATCAGGATGCCGCCTCGGCCCCTCCCCCGGCCTCTTACCCTTGTCATAGTCTGTGGAGTGGACCAAACCATCCACAGCCAGCCAATCGGAAGAGACTGCCTTAGCCTTGTCGCTGGAGAGCCCATGCGATTTGAAGGGCTTGGCCTCCTCCAGGTAGTCATCTAGGGGGCTCAGGCTTTCCTCAGCCCCCAAACCCGACGGGTTGAAGGGGGACAGCAAGTCCCCCAACAACAAGTCGCTGTTCAGGGAGCTCATCTCCATCGTGTTGTAGAGCCTTCGTCAGTTGGAGGAATGCAGAGGAGTCGTGGGTGTCTTTTTCGTGGCTGACAGCAGTGCTGCTGCTAGATGCCTTGAAAAGCCTGGAAGAGACCCCAGCCCCGGGCACGTGAGACCCTTCGAGGGCGCATCCCCCATCCCCCACCCCCATTCGACTCGAGCTTCCAGGAAACCGGCCCATGGAGAACCGAGCGCCGCCGCCGCCGCCGCCGCCTCTTCCTCCTCGTGCCCATATATGGGCATGAGGAGCCGCCCTGCCCCCACCCCGTCCAGCGGGGGTGACTCACGCCCCGCCGCGGCCCCTCCGCGTCCCCCCGCCCCCCAACGCGGAAGCGGCCGCCATCTTGTCTCCTGCCACGTTTCAGGCGGGCAGCGCGCCCAGCCCAGCCCAGCCCCTCCTTCCCGGAAGGTGGGGGGCGGCCATTTTCGCGTTTTCCCACCGACGGGGGCGACGCCAAACTTAGATATGGGAGGGGGGCGGGACTGCGCGCTTTTCCCAAAAAAGATTGTAAGCCACCACGAGGGCAGCAATAACTGCTTTATCGTTCACTCGCGTCCCCAGTGCCCGGACGCAGCCTGACGAGCGAACTACACACAACTAGTTAACGTCCAGGCGGCCGAACTCCCCCACGGGCTGCTCCTCGGCCTCGCCCCTCCCCCCGCCCATCCCCCCACTCACGCCATGGCTTCGCCGGTGGAGGTCGCCGCCGCAGAGCCCGGAGCTGCTGCCGCCGCCGCTGCAAGGGCCGATGCTGCCGCAGGCGCTGCCGCCTCTAGAACGCCATGGCGGGCGCCGGGGGGAGGAGGGTCGGGGCTGAGGGGAGCCGACGGCGGCGAGCACCACGGAAACACTCTGATCTCTGGCTGGACAGGCGTGAAAATGGCGGCGGCGCCCGGCTCGAGCCTCTTATACGCCGCGCAATCAGTGACGCGTCCTCCGCCTCCGCCAGCATAGGTGTCCTTCCGCCCCTGTCACGTGACCTCCCCTCCCTGAGCCTCGGTGACTTAATCTGTCTCTGCCCTCTTCTCTTCCTCCAGCTCCGGCCACGATTCTCGGGAGGAGGCAACGAAAAGGAGGCGGCAAATGTCTTTAGAAATCTCCCGAAAGTTGGCGGAATGGCAGGAACTATTTTCACAATTCCTTTGCCTCCCTCCCCCGCTGGCGGAAGGATCTAAGACACGGTGTGCATCACTGCCGAATCCGGACACGGAGGAGGGGCGGGGAGGGGCTGGGGAGGTCGAGCGTGAAAACCTTTCTTTTATCCTGGGATGGTTTGTGTCAATGTAGAATCTCGGGGAAACTCGGAAATCGCGCGAGACTCGATGAAAGGAGGCGGGGAGTGAGATAGGGCACAGCGCTGATTGGCCCCAGCTGGATGACTCACGCCTAGCTCGAGCTCCTATTGGCCCAGAGCCCGACGACTGTCGGGTTTGGAAGTGGGCGGCGGGCGCGGGATGGTGTTCGCGCCGGACGTGTCGCGGCGTCGGGGAGCGACCCAGCAGGTGTCGGGCCACAGCCCTTCCCCCCCCCATTCCCTACCACGCCTTCGCGCCCTGGGGAGTTCTGGGTTCGGGCCCCATCCGGGGGCTACTCCTGGTCCCTGAAGCATCCGGGGTCCCGGGGCCGCCTCGAAGCCTGGTTGGCGGGTTGCCCATCCTCCGGTCCCGAAACCCCGCCCCCGCCAGAGACTGGAGGCGGAGGCCCAGAGAGGGCAGGTGACCGCCCGAGGTCACACAGCGTTGCAGCGTCCCAGAACCAGAGGGGAGCCTGAGCTGCCCCGGGCCCAGAGGAGACCTCATCTTCTGCAGCCCGGGGGCCAAGGACTCACCTTGAAGGGGCACCGAGAGCCACCTGACCCAGCTCCCGAATTTATTACAGAGGAGGAAACTGAGGCCCGTGGGCATGACATACACGCTACGCCGTCCGAGGTGGCCGGTCTTTGAACCTTGGCTCTCCAACTCCGCGTCTAGCGAGGGCCCTTCTCGCCACACCATCGGACCACAGGAAGGGCAGCTCCAGCGATGAGGAGCTCACTACCTGTCGAGTCAGCCCCGTCTAGTTGGGGGCGCCCCTCACTTGGTGGTGGCAGGGAAGAGCCTTGCTCCCTTAACGGTCCACCCATCAGGCGCCCTTCCGACCCTGATTGGAAAGACTGATTGATCACATTGGGCTGAACTGAGTCAGGTGGAATTGAAGAGGGATCAATGGCTGGGTGAATGCAGGCTGAGCTCCAAAACGCCGGCTTCTCAAGGAAGGCCAAGTGGGGGGACGATTGGCCGGGCAGCCGGCCCAAAAACATCCCCGGGGGCCGGTGACACCCCGCAGTCATGGATTCCGAGGCCGCTGCTGGGGCGCGTTTAAGTCAGGCGGGCAGAGAGGGAGGGGTGGTCCTGCCGGGCCCCCCAGGGAGATGGTGCCCTAGGAGAAGAGCAAGGTTAGGGGGCACATGACTAAGTGTCTTGGCATGTTTTAGGGGGTGTCCCTCAGAACTGAACTGAGAGTAATGGGAAGGGGGAGGAAGAAGCTTCAGGGAGGCAGACTGAGACTTCCCAAAACCTCCCACCCAACAGCAGAAGCAGATTGTAAGTTGGTGCAGTCCAAGCATCGATTAAACACCAGGGAGCAGCTCTGGGGATGGAAACAAAGACAAAAAACCGGGCCTTCAAGCTTCCACGGAGTTCACAGTCTAACGGAGGGGCTCATCTCTTGGAAGGGGTTAGGGGTGGCTTGTACCGGATGACCATGGATGGGTTTTTCCAGCTCCCAGATTGTGACCCTGGAATTGTTAGAAAGTTTTTCCTTAAGTGGTGCCCAGAGATCTGCCTCCCTGCAATGCAGTCTCTCACGGCTCCCAGTTCCACCCTCTGGGACCAGCCGGAGCAAATCTGACCTCTCTTCCGTAGGACAGCGCATCAGGTCCCCTCTTTTTTCCTCCCCCATTCCCTCACCCAATCCCTGTTCCCTCCTCTTCTTCAGGCTAAATACTCCCTGGTCCTGCCAACTGATCTTTGTTTGCCGTGTTATCCTGGTCATTCTCCTCGGCATGTAATCCAGTTTGCCAAATGCTATTCTTTCAAAAAAAAAGATGGGATGGCCCAGGTGCAGGCTGATAGAATAGACTGCCGGCAGGACTCTTCCAGGCCCTCAACATGGCCTCTCTTAATGAATGTATTCAATTTCCAACTGCTTTTGAAAAGGCAGCCACCTCTTACTGTTGATTCATGCTCACTAAAATGCCCAGATAGTTTGCGCAGCAACTGTGTAGCCATGCCTCTGCCATCCTTGTGCAGCTGTCCAAATCCCTCTTCATTAGGGTTCACTAGATTTGACCCATCATCCGAGGCCGTTGAGGTCTTTGGGGACACAGTCTGTCCTTCAGCACGTCAGCTCATTGCTTGCTAGCTTTGCCATCTGCAAACATCCAGGTCACAGATAAAAATAATCAGCCTAGGGCCTTAAAAGGGCTCCTGGATGTTCCACTAGCAAGCTGCTGACCTCCAATTTGATCAGTCATCCCCTTCCAAATCCCCCAATTATAGTCTCACCTTTATTTAGTTCACCTCCATTTGGTCCACGAGGGCAGTACCAACAGCTTCAAATACATTGCTGAAAACTAGAGGACACGATGCCTGAACTCACAAACCCATCTCTTCAATCAGGCTCATACTTTGCCAGAAACATGTCAAGCTCACCGGCTTAGAATATGCTACTGTCTTTCCCTCTTAGAACAGATTAAAAAACCAGAGGCTGAGAGTAGACAGGATTTGCCCAAGGCCAGTAGTCATCCAGGCAGGTGAGAACCCACCCTGGATTTCCATTTCTGCCCGGCCATTTGCTACCCACCACCTGGAGCCATCACTTCGTTCTAGCGGGGCATCAGTTTCCTCCTCTGAAAAACGGGCCCTAGGTTATCTTTCAGGTCCCTCCCCATTCTAAAATCCTATGAATCCAATGACCCAGGTTCAGATACCATTTCTTCCACTAGTTAGAGGCAACAGGGAGTCAGGTTCAGATTCCAGCATTGACTACCACTGTGCCCCTGGCAAGTCACCTTCCTTCTCTGGGGGATCAAATAACCTCCCAGGTCCCTGCCAGCCCTGAATCCTAGAGAATCACTTCACCTTCTCTGGGTCTCTGTTCCTGTCCGATGAGGTGGGCCCTGATGACTGCAAATCCCAGAGCCAACAGAAATCACTTTCCCTCTCTGGGCTAGTTTCTTCATCTGTAAAATATGGGGTTGAAATAGGTGACCTCAAAGCTCCCCTTTGGCTCAAAAAGCCCATGATCCCGCCTGGCCTGTCTCCGAGACCTGCCAATAGCTTAGTGGTACATGACCACTAAGTCATAGTACATATATAGCAATACAGTGTAATACAGCAGCTGAATGACTGTACCTGATGCTGAAAATTAAGGGGAACAGAACCATGCCAGAGTGCCCTTAATTAGGTCTTTATTGAGACATCACGGATATGTCAAGCCCTGAACTAGGGGTTAGAATGGAGAGAGATGTGATTAAAGACAGTGATCACCTCTTGCATAGTTAAGGGATGTGGGTTCAAATCCTACCCCACTTTTTTTTTTTCCTAACAGTGACTGGATATAAAAGGTTTGTTTTTTTGGGGGGGGGAGGAAAGGGCTCCATGACCTCAAAATCTCTCCCAGCTCTAAATTTTATGAACCAACTTCCATCTTGGAAACCATGTACTATGGGGGAAAAGATAATGGCTCTAGGTCCAAATCCTGGCTTTACCACATCCCCTGTGCTTATGACATCGTCACTCTCTGGGCCCCCATTTCCTTCGGTGTGAAATGACATTAAACTAGCTAAGGTCCCTTGTAGTTCTAAGCCTATGATCTGAATGATTTGCTGTACTCTTAAATCAGGACTCAGGCTGGATTCAGCTCAAACTGAAAATGGGGGGGGGGGCGGGGAAGGGAGGGGGCAACAGCTGTGGAATGGTGCATGCACTGTCCAGTTTCTCCAGTGTAGCCACCAGCTTTTCTGGGAAACAGGAATTGTTATGCCCAGCCAGGAAGCAAGCCAGGAGGTACCTCAGGCATCCTCCAGGCTCAGTGTTCTGAACCTGGGGTCCAGGAATGTTTTCAAGTGTTCTGATGTTTCAACATATTGATTTCCTTTGTAGGTCTGGGTTTTATTTGGGGCACTTCAGAGCATGATTCTGAGAAGAGCTCCATCCACAGAAAGTGCTCCAGGCCAAATCCAAGGAACCACTGCATGTTGACATCAATCCCTTCTGATGCACCTGGCATTCCAAGGAAATTGGACTTGGGCCACGGCCCAATTCAACACGAGTGTGTGTTTGTGGAGGATAAAATCAACAACGTGAAGAATAACCACTTTGTGTGTAGACGAGCACAAAGACACTGAGATGTGAAAAACCATGCTTACTTCGGGAACAGGAGCCACGGAAAGCACGTGATCTTTCTGAATTACTGAGTCCTAGAAAAATCCAGGAGAAAAATGCTCTCTGCAGATGGCCAAGTATAGGGGTCCTCTCCTTAATTCCCTTGGCTCCCAGCCCGCATCCCCAGGCCAATTTTGGGATACCCAAGTCACCTGCCTGGTCCTGAAGGCCTCAGTGGAGCATCTCAAACTCCTCCTGGGGGAAAGGCAAGACCCTCATACTGCAGGCCACTGAGGACCCTGCCCCACCCTTATCAGTAGCTTCTACCCAGCAAGGTCCATTGAGAAAACAGGTTTGACCTACACCAAACACAAAAGCAAAAGCTGGTGCAAAGGATTTGTTTTTATTTTATGTTCCACTCTTTCATTTCATAGATCATCAACTCCCTTAACCTCGATGCTTTAGGGGAGGAGAAGAGACAAGAGGCAGGTCCCAGGACTTTTGCTAGGCAGGCTGCCCAGCAGGACTGAACAGAACACTTACCCAGACACCTTCTCCGCCCCCTCCCCAAAACCTGCCCAGGTCACCTGTCAACCAGCCTGGACGTGTCTGTAGATCAAGGACAATGCAAATACTCCACTCCACAGAGCAAAAGGCAGTTTGTGAGCTTAGTCAGAGACCCTGCAGATCACGGGGCAAACCAGATTCCAGAGACAGGGAACAGGAGACGATCACACCACCCTTGGGCCTGCTCTCCTGGCTCTTTGCTCAGTTGTCTTCATTAAGCCCTTTGAGGGCTGCATGCCCACAACAGAGCTGGGACAAGCCTCTGCTACAAGCTGGGGAAGCCTGACCGGGCGCATCCGGCTCCCATGCCAGGAAGGGCAGAGTCTCTCTACCAGGCCAGTTTCAGGGCCAGGGCCACTGCCTCAAGGGAAGGCGTCTCCACCTTCCCTAATGCCTGCTGGACCCTTGCCAGGATCCACTCCACCTTTGCTCTCTCCAATGAAGCAGCAACGAGAGCACCAGAGAGCAAAGGAACCAGGCCTGAGGACTGGTGGGCATGGGGGCCACCCCTTCTAGCAGGAGCATGAACTTTAAAACCACCGGTTACTTCTTTCCTTTAATGATAAAAGTGCCTCAAGCAAACACAAGGGTTGGGGGGAAAATACCCATTGTTAGCCTATATTTATGTCTGGGGTTAGGGACGAGGAAGAACCCCAAAACCTCATTGACTGATTTGGTTTCTGAGATTCGAAGGCAGGCCAAATAAACTTGTTTAAGAATGCCTGTGTCAACAAAGAACTCTCCTAGGATCTGCTGTTACTGGACACAGAACCGACGGAGGCTCACTTGCACCTCACCTTTCCACCCAAAGCTGCAATTCTGCTCCCCCTTCATCAGCAAACAGCATCTTGTTCAACAGAACCATTACCCAGAGCCATTTTTCTTTTTGATCCTATGGGCGTGTGCCCTGACTCCATCTCCTCATCATGTGGCAAGGTTAGCTTGTCTGAATCGGGAGACATTGGAATACTTCTTCCTAATTCAATGAAGAGGTTCACATTCACACACTTTTCCCCTCTGAGAAATGCATTTACTTTATCAGAGACCCTGGGACCCAGTCTCACTGGTTTGTTGGTTTGGTTTTATAAGCTTCGTATTTAATGTTGAGGAGCTAATAATGTACAGCTGGTTTGCAGCAGTAAACTGCAGACTTTTAAAATACCTTATCGGGTGGATCTCCCCAGTGTCCCCGATGGATGTCTATTCTCATCCTCCCCCTCCCTCAGGAGCAGTCAGAACCCCATACACACACACAATCTCTCCTACCCTCCCTCCAAAAAGTAAAAGCACCCATCCTTCTCAATAGGAAATAGAGGGCAAGAGGTGGGGATTCTCTGAAGGGGACCCCAGAACTTCACTTCCCAGACCATGACAAATACACAGGGGTCCCAAACCTAAATTCAGGAGGAAGCTGAGGACTTGGTCCCATGTGGACCATTTTGCCATTAAAGTGTAAGGAAAAGATAGCTACCAAGTTGTACAAGAATCTCATTGAGTGGGGGGGTAGAGAAAGCAGAAGCAAAATACTCAGATTCAGCAGTGGGAATACAAAATACTGGGTAAGGAGGCCAGAGGCAGGGCCGGCAACAACCCCTTACCACAAACAGAAAAAGAAACACAAAACAGTAAGACACAATGACAATGTGTATTAAACTCCCCCCTCCCCGCCCCCAGAATAACTTTACATTGCAATAAATAGTGCATTTGTAGCAGCGGGCAACAAGGAGGGGAAAGGGAAAGTCTCCTCCCCGTCCCCCCATCATTCGGCCCCCCGCGGCCCTTCTTTCCCCCGAGCGCTATCTGACAGGTAGACGTGACAAAGGGAAGGCATGTGCGTGTTCTGGCAGCCTCTGGCACAAAGGGTGTTAGGGCATTCCCTGAACGCTCCTCTCCCCTTTCCCAAAGGCAGACTTTGAGGCTTCAAAGAAGCAGGCCTGGCCCCTGCTGAGACAAGATGCTAAGGAGGGGATGCAGCGCAAACATGAAGCCAGGAGGGGTCCTCTGGGTGCCCCTGTGAAGGCACCATCAGCAAGCAGTCTGGCCTCCCACCAGCCACCCACGATGTCGTTGGCTACAGCTAGATTGCTACATGCAGCAAGCCCATGATGTGAGGCTGGAGCTGCCTACGACCCTCCTTCCTGCCTCTTCTGAATTCCTCTTGGTCAAGGTCATCAAAGAAGTGATGAGGTTGCCCTTGGACAGCAATGGAGGATATGGCTCCCACAGGCCTCCCTAACGCTAAGGCGGGGGGCTTGCCCTGTACTTCAAGGCTCCTCCCCCGGGCACTTGCTCCACCCTCTCAGAGAAAACACCACAAATGGGGAAGTTGGAATTTCCAGAGCCATCCCTTCCCAGACGGAACAAACATTCCCATCCAAGGTGGTCTTGGCCTTTCCCAATCCATCTGACTGATCTTATCCTTCCCTGCCCAGATAAGCGAGGTCATAGGAGGGGCAGGCCCACCTCCAAACCCAGAAGAGCCTGCCTACTTCTGCCTCCGCAGCCAGGAGGGTGGCTCCTGGGCCAGCCCCAGCACCCACCCCACAGATCCCAGATACTCACTAGCCATGCAGAGTGCGTTTCATAAATATTCACTCATTGCTACAGAGCAACATTCACTTACAGACAGTATCTTGATCAAGCAGAGCGTTCCAAGGAAAGGAACCAGAGGGACGAAGGGGCAATAGTGACAGGCACACAAAGAGGCTCAAAGTGGGGTCAGGCTGGGCAGCTGAAGAGGTGAACTTGACACAAGTCACCAAGTAACTTAACAGCTTGGCCCTCCTCCCCGTGCTCCCCACCCTTCTGGATGCACTTTGTGGAACTTGGCCTCAATGGAGGGACAATGAAAAAAACGGGGGCACAGTGCTTGGTGAGGGGAAAAAAAAAAGGAAGGCAGGGCAAGAAAAGGCCATTCTAGTCGGTGGGCGGCGACCCGGGCGATGACCAGCAGGACTGGAGGCACCGAAAGAACCCAAGTGAGGGGCCGCCTGGGCAGCGGAGCCTGGAGGGTGCTGCTGACCAGCTCCAAGGCCTGACCACCTAATCCCCATCGTGGCTTTCCCCCCCGTTACGTCTGCAGTAGGACCTCTGGCTCAGACAATGAGCAATAAAGGGTGTACCCCAATTCATCTATTTCTCCAGGGGTAAGCTCTGAAAATAGGTTCACCTTGGGGTTCAGGGCACTAGGCAGGACTCCGGCCTCCAAGTAGCCAATCAGGGCCCTGAGCGCCTGCAGAAAGCGGTCAGCAAGCATGTCCTGAGACCAGTCAGTCTCCTCTTGAGCCAAGTGGAGAATGACATTTGTGAGCTGACTGGCAGTGAGGTGGCCCAAGGCCGGGCTGGACTTGCACACAGCCTTGAGGATCTTGAGGCAGAGCGCTCGGCAGCCTCCATCGCCCTGGTCCAACGCCCGCAGGCGGGCAGTCTCTGCAGGCCGCAGGCTCAGCCTCCACAGGTTATCATACCGGGCCAGCCGGTGGGGCCTGGCCACGAGGACTGTGTCCCCGAGCGTCACCGACGGCAGAAAGTCAATGAGTAGGCGCCGGTTCTGCTCATACTGTACTTCCAGCGTCAAGGCCTCAGGGGGCGGAGCTGGGCGGATCACGCAGTCTAAGAGGGAGCCGATGGCTGGCCAGTTAATGGAGCCGGCCACAACCTTCTCAAATGTCTCTGCCACAGCCTTGGGGGAGAGGTAACCGCCAACCACACAGCGGTCCCAGTAACTGCTGCCCCGGGGAAAGTACTCTGGGTTCTCTCGACGCACCAGGAAGAAGCCTGGGATGTTCATGATGGTGTCCTCCCCAGGGATGCAGGACCACAGGTTCTGCTCTAGGACCAGAGGCACGATGAGCTGAATGTGGTCAGCAGTCACCACCTGTCAAGAGAAGGCACACAGTGAAAGGGGGGGATGCCAACACCTGCCCCATGCAAAGAGTCCAAGAAACTCGACTCTCTCCTGCCCAGAGCAGCCTCAGCTGCTGCTACCTGGTCCCAGAGGGCACTCCCGAGGAGCCCTGAGATCTCACATCTTGCCTTGTGCTGGCCCTCCTACCCTCACCCTACCACCCTCCTCACTGATCCCATCTTATCTGCACACCAAAGGCTCCGTTTGACCAGATACAGCAGAGGGAGCATCCTTCACTCCCCAGGCCTTAGTGCAGCAGCCAAGGACACCCCCACTATCCACACACATGCACACAGCAACCTCTTACCTCGGTAGCTTCCCCTGCGCCTAACCCATGGTCTCACACATAGAAAACCCTCAATGACGATATGCTGAACTGATTTAAAAGGGAGCCCCAAATAAAAGGGAATGGGGAGGGGAGGAAGTCACAATGCTGACCCGGAGGGGTAGGGCTTATGATGCAGAAGATGCTATTCTCTCCCCAGCCCGAGACATCTTTGGATTAAATGACCAGGACCATCAGAAAACCAGCCAAGGTCAGAAAGTGCTTCCTCGGTGAAAAGGCCTCACCTGCAAGTCGTCATAAAGGCTGCCGCTCAGGTACATGTCTCGCAGCGGCATGTCAGGCAGCTTGGCTCGGAGGAAGCTGCGCAGCTCAGCACATATGTCCACCGCCGCCTGCTTGGCCCGGGCCTGCTCCCCCGGGGGGAGGGCTGCCCGGTTCCGATAATAAGCAACCAGCTTCTCCTGCAGGGACAGGCGGAGCCGCGACTTCTTCAAGTCTACCTGGCTCTTCCTGGTGGCTGGTTTGGGTCTGGGGGGGTAGAACCCATCTGCCAAGGAAGGCAAGAGAATTCACATGAGAACCCCTGTCAGTGCTGGTCTACTTTATCCTCCCCTGGGGTCCATCAGGCCTCCACGCCAAGGAAATGGAAGGGTTCTGCAGAATGAGCAGAGGAAGGCGGAGATGAGGGCGGAGGTGGGGCCGGAGCATGGCCCGCTCACCTGCGTCGAAGGCTGAGGGATCAGTGGGCAAAGTCTGCAGGGACCTGCTCAAGCTGGTCTTCATGTCCTGCGTCAGTAACCGTGAGGACCCCATCCAGCTCGGCTCCTCCCAGCTTCTTTTCCCCGAATGGCTCAGGCGAGTGGGGCTGCTGGGGGCGCTGATCGCCCGGTCGTACATCTACAACACCCGCAGCGAGATGTGAGGAAGGAGGGTGAACAACCCAGGGCGTTCACCAGCACGTTTGAACATTTACTTAAATTCCTACTGTGTGTTAAGCACTGTGGAGGAACAAAGTGAAAAGACAGGAGTCCTCACAGTACCTCCTGGTCCTGGCAGTCGAGGCCACCAATATGCCAGCAGATACCCTAAAACACCCTAACATAGGACCACATATTAGAAAGATTCTGAACAAAGTGCCGTGGGGGATCCCGGAGAGAAGACCATCTCCACCTTCCCCGGGAAGGCATTTATTTATAGAAGAGATGCTTTCCCAGGATGGGGAGGAATTCAGCAGGCAGGGAGAGAACACCTTAGGTGTGGGAGGCAGAAGAGCTGGGGCAGTCCCAGTTGTTTGTTATCAAGGGCAGGAAATGATGTGTGATTGGTTTGGAAAAGCAAAGCAGCTCCAGGCTATGGAGGGAATGGCTGCCAGGCAAAGGATTCTGAATCTCCATGGGGAGGAGCCTGGATTTCTGCAGGACATTAGCTCTGAGCAGCCGCTCTGGGCAGCCCCTCTGACCCGCCCTCACTTGCCCTCACTTGCCCTCACTCACCCGTTTGACAGCCAAGGTAGCAATCCCCAGCATGGCCGCTCCACCCACCCCCAGCACCAGCCGGGCATTGGACAGCACAAAATCAATGGCGGTGCCGATGCCGTTGTCATCTTTCTTGCCTTTTCCCTGGCGCTCACCAGTCCCTGCCATTGCTCCCCTGCGGGTAAAAGCAGAAGACACACACAAAACTGCCAGTGAGTGACAATTTACCAGTCAAGACCGAACTCTCTCCAGCCACCCCAGACTGCTGTTTCTGCTCAAGCCCTCCCCACCACCCTCCTGACCATATGTAGGGCCAGCTGCCTCCTTCCTGCCTGTCCTTAGACTTCTGGACAGACCACATGTGCACTATCCGGGTACCAGCCAGCCCAAGCCTCTGGCCTCACCCTGTCTGCTCCAGAGGAAGATAACTGGGCCTTATGACACAGTTGGCAAAGTGAGGGTGGGGGTAAGAATGAGCACATCTGTGACAAGGAAGAAAAGCTTTCCCTTCTTTATGTGAAACTTATCTAACTCCCTGAAGACCTTTTCTTGTCTCTCGAGGTGTAGGCCACCCCATCCTGCCAAGGACCTGCACAGTTACTTCTGGCTATATTTCTCGTAAAGAAACAATAGCATAGGCTGGCCAATTACACTGGCACAGAAGGCAATGTTGGGTCAAACATGGAAGAGACATACAAAAAGGCAAAGCACACCGAAAACCCTTTCTGGGTACTTGCTACATGGGGGCTGCTGGGTTATAAGACAATTGTTTTTGAGGTGAGAAAGATGATACGCAATGCGTATCATCTGGTGAGGATAACTGTACATCTGATAGTTATCAAAGTAAATACTTCCAGACTTTGCTGGAGTTAACTGGAAAAAGAAACCCAGGCCCTGGCAAAGGAAAACAAACAAACATTCTATGATACTGGAGTTCAGCCCCTTGAATCAAAAAAGCTAGGTCCTGGTCTCATGCCTCTAGGGTCCCTGGGTTCACCAGAGATAGTCACTGGTTACTACACATACTACTACCTACTACTTGGGTAAACTGGTCAAGATGATTCCCAAATAAGCCTGCATTCTGAAGCACTAAAACCGCTGTTGTCCGAGTTCAAGGCAGAATACTGCTTTTCCTGTCACTCCCATAGTCCAGATTCCTGGCTGTTTGCCAGCACGAAGAGAAGGCCAATCAGAATCATTCACTGTGCAGCATTCTGGCAAGGCCCCTGCTCTGTGCAGATTTTAACATCCAAGTTCATGAGTATTTAGCATATTTTTCACTGTTCACCATGCTGCCTCCAAAGGCCCTTAAATCATCTACATTTGACCCTGGTGTGCTGTCCTGTTACTGCCATTCCAGCTGCTCCAGTCTTCATTATATTAGAATGTAAGCTCCTTGAGGGCAGGGATCCTTCTGCTTGTATGTGTATTTCCAGTGCTTAGCACAGGGCCTGGAACCCAGTGAACACTTATAAATAAATGCTTGTCCACTCTGCCATCACTCTCTTCTGTGAGAGTTTAGGGTCCATAATATCCCAACATTTGGGAACTTGATCAGATGCCACAGGAGATTATTGTCCATTCGTGGTCAGGCCAGCCACGTTTACTAAGGAGCCCCTGGGCACGTGACCTCGTAGTCATCAGTGAAATTCCTGTGTAAATAGGATGTTTTCATAGTACTCTAGCAACTCTACTGTTGCCCCTTTCAGCTTAGCCTTTCCCAGGTTGCAGTCCATTAGTCTGTGTGGCTAGTAGTGATAGTCCCATCTTAGGCCTGGAGAAACAGCTTAGGTAACTTGTCACGGCCCTTCCTTGTCTTCTTTCTTCTTGGCTTCCTTCTGCTGAAGGTGGCAGGACGGGGTGCAAGCCTGGAGGCCTCAAAGGCAGCCTCTCAAGTATGTGCGTTCTTGGCCACAGCTTTGAGGAGAGAGGCCCCATCTGGGATGAGAGAAGCCTCCAGACACTAGAATTTGAAAGCAGGCCTGTGTTTAAAACCCAAAGAAAGCAGGTCAGGCTTGTTAAAGAACTGTTCCGGCTGGAGGGCAACACCCCCATAACTCTGGGCTAGATAAGATTTCAAACATCTGGTGACTTGAAAGAGGAAGTTTCAGAAGGCCAACTGGAGAGCTGAAAAGTCAAAAATATGATTCACCCTTTCCCAGTTGAGAATTATTATGGACTATCTCAAAGAATTAGTGTGGGAGTGATAAGGGGGGCCAGGAAGGAAGAAGCTAGGCTGCAAGACCCAATGACCTAAAATCTAGATGCAGATCTAGGGAAGGACGACTAAGCTGAAAGGGGCAACAGTGGAGTACTATGAAAACATCCTATTTATACAGGAATTTCACTGATGACTACGAGGTCACATGCCCAGGAGCTCCTCAGTAAACATGGCTGGCCTGACCATAAGTGGACACTAATACCCTCCAGCCTCTTTGGTCTGGGCTAGACTTACCCTTCACCCATTGCTATTACCTAACCTCTGGAAGTAGGGGATGGGGTAGGAAGCAGAGGGCAGCAATGGGAGGATAGGAAACACACAGTCCAAACAAAGAGCTCCCGCTTTCTGTGGTGCCTGGAGGTTTACAAAGGCTCCTAGGAGGGGGTTATCTTCAAAGCACTTTCTCCCCACCACCCCTGTGAGAGAAGCAAGTACCAGTGTTATCGCCACTGTCCAGTCATGGTGTCACACCCCTTGCTCGTATGCCCCAGGGGGAGGTGCGCCTGCCCTTTCAGCACAGAGCAGAGAGCCCCCAGCTCCCAGGGTAGACACTGATGCACACAGAGCAGTAAATCCTGGGAAGCCTCAGGCTCCCTGAGCTGCCTGTGGGTATGGAGGCCAGGCTCGGTATAGATAGCACAGGGCCAGCCTGCAGACCTGAATTCCAGTTCTTCTGGAGCATAACTGATCCTGTGGCCAAGGCAAAGTCACTTCACCTCTCCTGGCACCAGGCAACTCTCCATTTTGTCCATGAATATGAGTTGCCAGTGACAGAAGACCCACAACATCAGTAAAATCCCTTTGAATGGCAGCATCCCTCAACACAGATCCAGTCAGGAAATAGGCCAAACCCTGCTGTGCCCGTGCAGGGACAGGCTCTGGGCCTCAGGATCTGGCCAGCAGTACAGTCGGCACAATCAGCCCTACTCAAGAGGGCTCCTCTAGATAACTCCCTAAGGAATGCTGTGCCCACCATGGCTCCCAAGTGCAGCAGATGGATGGGTGGCATTTCCCCCACTTTACTGATACAGAAAGCAGAACTGAGTTCGTGTTTAACCTAAGAGGACACAAGAAATCAGGAGACTTGGCTGTAGTCTTGATCCCGGGAGGTCCAATCTGCAGCTCTGCTCATTGCTGACCTTCCCTGCGATGTATATTAAAATGCACTGCAATAGATAGCCAGCACCCAGGAATATACTTCACTCCCAACCTCACGAGAAAGGGAGTACAAGCATTTGGCAGAACAGGAAATGGACACTCAGAGGTTAACTGACTTGTCCCAGACCTTACACACAGCTAATCAAGTGGCCAAACCCGGCCACCAACCTAGGCCCAGTGTTCTTTCCACTGGGGCATGCTACCTCTGTGCTCTGTTCCGGGTACTGAGATGGCTTTTCCGGAGATTAACCAGCTGCTACTGTAACTCCAAAAGGCACTCCTCCCCACCCCCACCCCCCAGATTTCTGATAGCTACAGGAAAGCTCTGATGTGACTGTTCAGATCTATGTATGTGGTGGGAACCTGAGCTCACTTTTACATGGTTTTACAAAACATCACCCTCCATTTTACAAATTAATGAAGTTGAGGCCCAGAAAGGAGAATGGCCGCTCTTGATTTGCCGTGTCACAGCCAGGCCACAGATGCCAAGTGCCCAAGTCCAAAGCCAGTCTTCTCTCCACTCCCCCACCCCCGCCCCACTGTTTCCTTTCTATAAACTCTTCTTGTCTTCGGCCTTGGGATGTTCTTACCAGAGTTAATCTTGCTAGCATTCCTTTCGCTGGTCATTTGTCCTTTAAGGTAGTCTGTCACTGGGACATTGACATTTCTTCTTCCACTGAATCACTTCGGTACTTGGGCAGTTTCAGTTATTCAGAGCATTTTTCCCTAACATCTTCACTTTGATCCCTTTTGATTTCAGCTGATTTTTAAAAATCTCTTTGGTTTTCCTTGACTTTTTTTTGTTGTTTTTTGATCACCAGTAGAGAAGCCGTCTCCCTTTAGGCCTCAAGTTCCTGACTCCTTGAGTTGGGAAAGTACAAAGGGCTTTCTTTCTTTCCAACTCTAGGAGGTAAAAAGCTTGGGAATTATTAACCCCAAGATAGATGGTACAGAAGCCACTCAGAAGTACCTTGGCCAAGATGACTCTGCTCATAAGAGGGGCAAAACTGGACTCGGTGCCAGCTTTCTTTGACAACAGATCCTAGAACCCTTGTAGGCCATAGTCCATATGCTTCTGGACTTGTCTGCTGCAACACTGAGGACTCCTGTCCACCCTTTCTATTTCTGGTCCTCTTGACCCTCCTTTTACCTGTGTGACCACTCTGAAGTCTCCTTGGCTGGTTCATCATGCCCCCCAACTGTGGGTGTTTCCCAAAGCTCTTTGCTGACCGCCTATCCTCTCTCTATACTCATTCTCTTGGTGCCTTCATCAGCTCCCAGGGTTGAATTCTCGTTTCTATGCAGAATCTATATATCCAACCCCAGTCTCTTCCCTGAGCATCAGCCCCACATCACCAATTACCTATGAAACATTTCAAACTTAATGTCCCGGAGCTATCTCAAACTCACACATTGACATCACAAAGTTCATTATTTCCCCCCAAAACCTCAACCCGTCAAACGTACCATCAATGTTCCAGACTGTCTTTATATCCAGATCTGACCAGGCCCCTCCTGAGGCTTCCTCTTGCTTCTGGCATCGAATACAAACTCCTGTTTAGTTTTTCAAACTTTGGAGAATCTGGCCCCATTTCTGGCATCTCTGAACCTTGTACAGGCTGGGCGTTCCCTCGCCTTTTACAGGAGCCCTCAAGCCTCCGACAGCAATCTTCTTCCTTCTCAAGCCACCCAATGTTTCGCCATTTTATTTACTTCTACTTATGTATAGATGGGGAATGTATTGATGTAACTGTCCCACCGTTAGAATGTAATCTCCTTGAACACAGGGACTGTTTCCATTTCTGTTTTTGGCTCTATCACCAAAGCTTGAGCCCAAGGCCTTGGAGCCTAATTTCTTTGTCTAGGAAAGGAGGCACACAAGACAGCATCCCCCTCTCAGTCTCCTAGGCAGGTCACAGCCTCTAGCCCAGAGTTCCCCAGGGTTCTCCCCTGGGGCTCTTCTCTTCTCCCTCTCCACTATTTCACTCGGTGATCATTTCCTCAGCTCCCTCAGATTTCATCACCATCTCTATGCTGCCGATTCTCACATCCACCTACCCTGCCCCAGTCTCTCTGCTGACCTCCAAATGCCTTTCAGACTTCTTAAACTCAGAACCCATCTTCCCCCACACATATGCCCCTTATCTTCCCAGACCCTCTCAATCATCCTGGACTCCTGTCTCTCACCTCCTCCCCCCCATATCCAAGCAGTTTCCGAGCCTGTAGAGTTCACTTCTGCAGAATCTCTCAAACACACCACCCTGGTAAAGACCTTCATTCCCGGATCACTGCAATAGCCTGGGGGTTGCTGGGGGGGTTTGCCTGACTTCAGTGTCTCCTCACTCCAGATCAGTCCTTCATTCAGCCACTAACGTGATTCTCCTAAAGCACAGATCTGACCATGCCTGTCTGCCTCTCCTCCCTGCCCCGCCCCCATTCAGTAAACTCCGGTGGCTCCCTATTGCCTCCAGAATCCAACATAAAATCATTGTGTCGCCCCCCATCCCCTCCCCAACTTCCTCTTGGCTCCAGTGACACTGGCCTCCTGCTCCCAAGAAGACGCTCGGACTCTCAGCCCTGGAGAATTTTCTCTGGCTGTGCCCCACGCCTGCACGTTCTCCCTCCTCCTCCCCACCCTCTGCCTTCCTTCAAGTACCAACTGACACCCCGTCCTTTTTTTACAGGAAGTGATTTCCAGTCCTCTCAATTCTTGGGCCTTCCCTCTCGGGTTACTTCCTATTTTCCATATGTGTAGCTTGTCTGTATGTCTGCTTCCTTGTTGTCTTTCCCCATCAGAGGGAGCTCCTGGGGGGCAAGAACTGTCTTTCGCTCTTTCCGTTTGTTCCCCTAGGACTCAGCACGGTGCCCAGCACAAAGCAAGTGCTTAATGTAGCCTTCTACAAGCAAGGTACTTCAGGAACTCTAACAGGGTTATGTAAATTTGAGTTGTTCTTGTAATCATCATCACTCCTAGGTTTCTAAGAGACATGTGTTCTATAGTTAAGAGTCCGGAAACCTAGGCTTGAGTTTTAGCTCCACTGATTCCTAGCTAACCGCATGCCTAATCTGCTTTGGCATCTATAAAATGGCTATACTAATACCAAATCACAACAGCAGACATTTATACAGGCTTTAATGTCTGAAGAGATACATAAACTATCATTTATTTTCATTAAGTTTACCTACCTCACAGATTTGTCATAAGGAAAATAGTCTGGAAATCTTAAATTGCCAGAAAGACGGAACAGGTATTAGATGCCATTTACTCTCCCTACATGCTCATGCTGATGGGGTGCAAATGAGGGACCCCTAAAAAGCTCTGGACTTTCCCAAATGCCTAGTCCCAGGTGTTTCCCTGAGGTATCAGGCCCACCTCAGCCTACCTCATTTCCTTATTTAGCTTGACACTCCTAAATCCCATCCAGGCCCCTATCTTCCTTACCCCCAGACCACCCCAGGCTACTTGCCACTCCTTAATCCCATCTCTTATAAAAGTGTTGATCTGGTCCCCATTACATTTTGAAGACTCGTAGAATCCCGCCAGCTTCTATAAGCAACATAATAAACCTTGTCTTGGACTGAAAGACCTGAGTGGTCAAACTCTTTAGAGGCAGACCCTTGCCCCATACCCTTGCATTCTGGGGTTCCCAGCCCCCCTAGACTACAACAATGCAAGGGGTAAAGGAAATAGAGAGTTTAGGTAAACCAGAGTTGTAGAGCAGAAAGATCTCTGGATGCAGGGTCAAGGGAGCTGAATTTGAATCCTGGACATCCAGGCACCCGCCAAGTGGAAAACAAACGACTCTTTTATTTCTACAAAATTTGAAAGTCTACAGAGCTCCTTCCTCACAACCACCCTGTGAGGGAGGCTGTACAATGACCATCCTCTCCCTTCCACAGGCAGGCAAACAGATTCTGGAGGCAAAGTGACTGGTCCAGCAGCCACAGGGCAAGCAAGGGTCTCCGCTGGTACAAAGTCCAGGCGCAGTGACTCCAAGGCGTGCTTGCCTTCCCCCTGAACCACAGCTGCGGTCTCTCTTCCTTTAACTTCTACGCCCTTACCTGTCAAAGGATGGTAGTCCTTAGGCAGCCAATTCCAAGGCCTAGTTGTGAGGAAACCAATTCACGAATTCTAAATGACTTGGAGTCCTGGCTGTGCCTGTGTGACCTTGGGCGGGTCCCTTCCCACCTGGGGCTCAGTTCACTCCAGTGGTCCAGCAGCCTCCTACTCCTCCCTCCCCCTGGCATACCCGGACACCATCAAGCCTACAGGAAAGTAGGTCCTGAATAACAGCAAAGGGTTCTCTAAATAATTTAAGCAAATTCTTATCTGGGCAGCCACGCGCTCTAAAGTGCTAGGTGGGTACCTAAAAACTCCCAGACCTGATTGGATCCAGGTGGGAGGGAGACTAAGTGACCGCATCAGACAGCCTGCGGCTCTCTAGGGGTCAAAGGTCAGGCTCCTGATTCAGGGCCAGTCTTCACCAGAGCCCCTCCCCCATCGTCCCCCGAGGGCCGAGGAATCACCACCCAAACTCCGAGGCCACTGTTCAAGGCTGCGGGGTGTCCGCCCACTGAGACCCCGCGGCCGAGGGTCCCACAGACGGGAAACCCGGTCAAGGATCGTCCCAAGAGGTCACCGGAATGCGGCCTTCGCTTTCTCTCCCGGCTCCGCCGGGAGCAAGTACACAGCAAGCGCTTACTCAGTGCTTTTCACTCCCTCCATCACTACGGGGCGCTCGGCCCCCGGCGCATACAGCAGGCGTTTAATCAGCGTTCGCTCCCCGGACCGGAGCCTCGGGCCACAGCAGGGCCGGGCCGGACCGGACCTACCTGGGGAGGGCTCCTCAGCGCATCGTGGCCGGCCCCAGGCCTCACACCAGGTGGCCTCGCTCGCCGCGCAGGAAGACCCGGCCCTTTTCCAGCTGCCTCCGCACGGCGTCCGGGCCGGCCCCGGGCGGCAGCGGGCGGCGGAACTCTCGACGCACGGCCGCCACGTAGAAGTCGCGGTCGGTGAAGCGCAGCCCGCGGGCCCGGCGCAGCAGGGCCCGGTACAGACCCAGCACCGCGCTGCGGCCGGGCTCGGCCATGAGGGTCCGGGGGGCCGGAGCCGCGCCGCGGCGAGTCGTCAGCGAGCCGCCCGGGCCGGGCCGGGACCGGAGACGGAAAAGGGCCGGGGCCGGGACCGGGGGCCGGGAACGCCGCCTCACACAGACGCCGCCGCCGCCGCCTCCTTCAAGCCGCGGTCACCGGGCAACATGGCTGCTTCACTTCCGGGACATGACCTCTGTAGAGGAAGAAGAGGAACGGGCGGAAGACGGAAGAGAGGCCCTAGGAGGAGGGACTTCCTGTAACGACAGTCTACGGCCTCGCGAGACTTCCTCCTCGTTCCCTTACAACTTCCCTTTATCTCTAAGCCCCGCCCCGAACGGGAGTCATTGATTGTGGGAGGGGCTACATCTCTCCCTCAACCCTCTCTACTCAAACTGCTCTCCATGCCCTGCCCTGTTTGGTGACGTCAGGCATGTAGGCGGAGCTACAGCACCTAAGCTCAGCCCTTCCCTCTATGCCCCTCCCTGAGAGTTGACGTTTGGGAAGTGGGAGGGGCTACAGTGCGCAAGCTTCCCCATACCCTTCCACCTGCCTTCTTTCAACCCGTGGGGGTGGGGCTACGCCTCTCTCTCTACCCTCCCTTTCCCTTAAGACCCCTCCCCTAACCGTGACGTTAGAGAAATGGGACAGCACCTCCCTAGTTCAACCCTCCCATTCCCGTAGGGCCCCGCCCCTATAGTGACGTCATATATCCATTTCTTCTCCCACCGCTCACCCCTTCTCCCTTCAACTTTTAAGGGGGGGAGAAGGCGCATGCTCAGTAGTGGCCACGCCTGTGGGGAAAGTGAGGCAGGGAGGAGTCAGGCTCCCAGTCTGAGTGGTCCTCGAGGCTGACCCAACCTCGCAACTACAGTCATCCTAGCGGCCTCAGTCTGGGGCTCGAAGGGGTCTCAGAGGCCGTCGGGCGCGACCCCTTCATTTTACAGAGAGGACTTTTTACTGAGGACTGTGTGACTTGTCCAGGGTCACACAGAAAGTGACAGCTGGGATTCGAACCCAGGGCTTCAAACCCCAACTCCAGCCCTCTTCCTACCACACGAAGACCCTTGTACCCACTTGTAGCAGTGACCAGCGGCGCGCAGTGAGGCTGCTCATGATGCACTTCTGGCCTTGGAGTCCTGAGAGAGCTGGGTTCAAATCCTGGGTCAGCTCCCCAGCTCACAGTCATTGACTTCATGGGCAGCTTTGACTCGTTGGCCTGATAGACCCCTGTATCTACAGTTTTGGAGATTTTACAGGAGGGCTCATTCCCTCACCCCATCCCTGAGAAGTGGGTAACGCAAATATTGCTTGACCCATTTTACAGATGAGGAAACTGAGACCCAGAGAGGCAACGTGACCCATTAGAATGGGCACTGCATTTGGAGGTCAGGAGCTGGTTTGATTCCTCTTTGGAATCACACACTTAAACCTTCAAGGAGAGGGAAAGATTGTCCTACTGGAGATATAGCCCCATGCAACACGTGTAAGTGATAGACTGAGGATTTGAACCCACATCCCGCGAGTAAATTTAGCGCTCTTTTCCATTACTGCAGCTGTAGTCTTATCCTAAATTCTGGGTCCTGGGGGAGGATCATAACAGGAAGACAGATGTGGAGAGAAGAGCTCTGGATTTCAAGTCTGAAGGAGGGGAGGGGGAAGGAAATGAGCATTTATTAAGCTCCTGCTATGTGCTAAGCACTTCGTTTGCATTCTCTCATTTGATCTCACAACAACCCTGGAAGGGAGGTGCCTTATGATCCCTATTTTACAGTTGAGGAAACTGAGGCAGACACGGGTTAAGAGACTTGTCCAGGGTCACACAGCTAATAAATGTCTGAGGCCAGATTTGAGCTAAGGTCTCGGGGACTTCAGCCCTTTACCCAGGGTCACACAGCCAGGATATGTCAGAGGCAGGTCTTCCTGGCTCGGAGGTGGCTCCCTGTTCAGCCTTGCATACAGTAGGTGCTTAGTAAGACTATCTAATTGCTTGATTGAACAGAGTTGGAGCAAGCAGCATTTAGTGGGCACCTCACCTCAGGGGGTTAGATTTGTTATGTAGATTGTAAAGGGAATCCTGGGTCTAGAAGGGGTAGATCAGGTGGCCCAGGAGGTCCCTTCTTGCCCTGAGGTTCTGTAATTCTGTGACTGGCACCTGATGAGTGCTGCTCTGCCCGTCCCCTAGGACTCCTAGCCCCCTCCTTCCTCTCCTGCTCTCCCTCCCCTTTCCTAAGCCTGTACCCACCGAAGGGGAACCTGGCAGGGTTTCTCC